ACTTTTAATAATTTTTTATATTATATATTTCGGATTTCGGATATCCGAAATATCCGAAATTATCACATTTTAATATCCGTATCCGAATCCGAAAAACCGGATATCCGAATTTCGGGTATCCGAATTTTCGAATATCCGATTTTTCGGGTATTTTCGGATCGGATTTTCGGATTTTTCGGATCGGATGTTCGGATGCGGATATTTTTGACCACCCCTAATTATTTTAGTTGGTTTCCTGATGTCTCATTAGTCATTATTTGAAGTCATCGACTAAGGCTAAATGGCTAACCAATATACACACAATGAACAAGTTCGTTGTTCACAGTGGCAAGAACCACGAGCACGAACACCACTCTAGGTGTCCGTGGTTGGGCATGTTTGTTGGGCTATATTTAGTGGTTTATGCTTTGTTTTGAATGTATTATGTTGTTCTCGGTTTTGCACTGAAATCACCTAGTGATTTCGGTGGGCTTGGTGTGTTCTCGATGGGCTTATTATATATGGGCTTTAGGTTATCGGTTTAGTATATATATGGTCTGTGTATAGTCGTTCAATAAGAATGCGTTTTTGGTGAATACTAGTGATTCACGGCTGAAGTGTGATTGAGTGTATTTGACAGTTATTCAATAGAATTGTGTGCATTCATGTTATTAAAACGTGTTCTTGGTATATCTAATTCATTGTTTCGTATCATTGTTTGATCAAGATTCTGCACTAAATCAAACGATTGCATTGATACTTTGATAGATCCGAATTCAGGGACTTACAAGTGGTATCAGAGCACTCAGATGATGTTCACTGCTTTTAAGTTAGTATATTGTCTCCAACATATATCCTACTCTCTATGTTAGTCATATGTTGTCCCCTCTGCGTGATCGGTAGATCCGACCTGGGACACAACATATGCATTCCACAATGATTATTTACTCACCAAAAGTAAAGGATTCCGAAGAAATTTCCTTGATTACCGGGGTATGCCATGATGTTACATCCCGTTTAAAATAGAATAATTAAATAATAATCCCGGAACCCCGAGAAGTAATTTTATTATTATTTTATATTATTATAATCCAAAATCAAATAATAATTAGCGGGATATTGGTTTCGGGAATCCAAATGACAAGATTCGAATCTCTGGGGGTTAAAGTGTAATTTCGGGACTTATTTTGTAAAGATTTTTAGTAGTCAGGGGGTGTTTTGGACTTATCATGAAAGGATTTTGAAAACGGAGGGCTGTTAGGTAAATTCCGGACTTGATCTGAAAGGAAATTCAGAAGGCAGGGTATAAATGGTAAATATTAGACTTTCTTTGAAGAGATTGGGAATGGGAGGGTCCAGTTCTGCCATTTTCGTTATAAGTTTGCATGGGGACGGGATTTAAGACCCGATGCCCCCATACCCGTCGGAGGGACACCCCATGTAACCCTAACCCTAATATTTCCTCCCAGCCGCCACCTTCACTTCCTCATTTCGGCGCCGCACCACCACTCCGTTCCTCTCTTGTTTCCGACCACCGATCCACCGCTGTGCCAACCCGTTGAAGACGAAAGCCACCTTTGGACGTCATGGCAGCGGGAGATCGGAAGTAACTCACCCCGGGGCGTCGCTGATGCTAATTCCGGTGGAAGCCGCCACCCACTTCGCGTCTTCTTCTGTCCGCCACCACCATTGTTGAGGTCCCAAACTAACCACCGGCGACTCCTCGCGACTCCGACGACGGGCCTGAAGGCCGGTACCGCTACTTTTGTTGCATTTTTTCCTCCGTCGTGTCTTCTTCTCCTTCTTTCTGTCACCATCCGTAGCTGATGTCGTCGTGCTGCTGTCGTCGATCGTACCACCGCTGTTGTTGTCATTGTTGGACTATTCCGTCAAGAGGGTGGCAGCATTCATGGTTGTAATGCGGTTGCGTGTGTGTTTTCTGTTGAAAAGGAGTCACGAATAACCACCATGGTGGTTGCCGCTGATGACGTTACGTTTCCGACCGGCCGCCGCCAACTGCCATTCTTTCCGTCGCCACCAGCCACCGTGGAAGGTGTGTGTGTGTGTGTGTGTGTGTTTTGCTATGTATTTAGCTCGGGAATCTGTCAACCAACAACTGGAGTTTTATCCGCGGGACTTCAGCAGTGTGAGGTGAGTTTTCCTCACTATACTCAAGGGTCGAAGGCACCAAGGCCGACCCTTTAGATTTTTATCCTGATATGATATGCTAGTATGATCTGTTAGATCGGTATCCTGGTAGATAGGATGGTATATGCTATTATGATCTGTTAGATCAGTATCCCGGTAGATAGGATGTTATTATGCTGCTATGATCTGTTAGATCGGTTTATCTGTCTATAAACTGTTATGTGATTATTTGTTATATGTGCACATGTTTGATTGGTGGTTGAGGCTTATCTGCTTTGTGCGAAAGCCAATAGACATGGGCATTCCAACCCGATGGTTGTGGGCCGTGAGTATTCCATCCCGAGGATGATTGGACTCGTACTATGTGGGCATTCCAACCCGATGGTTGTGGGCCGAGGGTATTCCATCCCGAGGATGACTGGACCCGTTATATATATATATATATATATATATATATATATATATATATATATATATATATATATATATATATATATATATATATATTGACATTCCAACCTGGGGTATTCCATCCGGATGGATGACTGGACCTGGAGGTTGATTGGGCCTGGGGTATTCCAACCCGATGGTTGATTGGACCCGACATATTTGTCAGTGTATACGGTGAGACTAGGATGCTTCGTGCGTCAGTCAACAGGCCTGGGGTATTCCATCCTGATGGATGATTGGGCCCATAATATGTTGGTTTTCCAACCGGACGGTTGAGGGCCTGGGGTATTCCAACTCGATGGTTGGCTGGACCCATAGTATGTTGTTTGTGATTATATGTGTATTGTTGTGTGTATGGGTATTTTGGGGGAACTCACTAAGCTTTGTGCATACGGTTTCAGTTTATTGTTTCAAGTGTTTCAGATGTTTCGGCAAGGCAAATGTGTGACCGTACACATCCTCGTGTTTTGGACTTACGGTTTCTGGGATACTCTAATATTAAACTATTTTGAAAACATTTTGTAATAACTAATGACTTTTGGATGTTTGAAAAAGTTTTAAATTTGCTTAATTTTTATGGGTGTTACACATGAAGTGGGGAACATGTTCCAGTGTACTAACATTAACTGCACCCATAACTAAAGGTTGACTGGTAGATTTTATTGGCTAAATTTAAGTGGACAACAATATCCTTGGTCGTCGTCAGACAAAATGATATATCTAGGAATATAATAGTCATATATTGCCACTCATGATTTGTCCTCAAAAATGTCCTATGTGCTTAAGTGAATCACAATATCAATGATCGACGAGAGCTTTTCATGAACGTGTGTGCTGATAAACCTCATTAATTTGCTTCATAACGTTTGGTCCCAAAAGTTTTTGTTTTATTAGAATCTGTTTATTACATTTTTGTTTTTATTTAAATTTGTACATATTTTCACTGTTATGCACAAATTTAGGGGGAGAAATTATTGAAAAAAAAATGTTTAATTTTATTTTTATTTTCGTATTTGGTTTTTGAAACGTAAAATCGAAAGAAATCATTTTATTAAAAACGAGTATTTTTCCTTGGGTCGAAATCATTTAGGTGGACCATCTGGGCCGATTTTTCGGTCATATATATATATATATATATATATATATATATATATATATATATATATATATATATATATATATATATATATTGTTTTCGGTTGGTTAGGGTTTCACACCGAAAAACCCCCAAACAGTCGTCGTTGTTTTCTCTCCCAATATCTTCGAGATTTTCTGCTAAAATCTACCCATTCGTTGTTTCTATTGCAAATTGTTCGGTGAATTAGGTAGTTTTTTGGTTTTCGATAATGGTAATGGTATTTAAGTTGTTTTTGGTGTACTCGGTTTCACAGATTTGCAGGTTTTCGAATGGATTTTACGAGGTTTCCGACGAACTGCGTTGGAACAGTTTCCGATGAGATTTCTGGTTTTCGGTTCAACCCGGATTCGACCGAGATCCGATGAAGATCCGACCCAATCTGACTGAAATCTAGGTTCTCGGCCGAAATCAACCAACGTTGACCGAAATCGTCTGGTCAACAAGTGATTTTGACCGAAATCGATCATCTTTGACCGAAATAGACTAAAATTTTGACTTTGACCTTGACTTTGACCGAAATCGGATTTCATACTCAATTTAATTAATTTTAAATTAGCTCTCACTTGGCTAGTTTGGTGCAGATAAATGGCAGAGCAACTTAAATTCGTAGACTCTAACAACATTGTTGGATATCTCATGGATCCTCCTGTTGCTCATCAAGAATTCAAATCCATGATGGTGGGTTTGAACAACTACAGGATCTATCAACCCCTTCGTGCCAATCCAGTCATTCACAGAGACCTGATCACTAATTTCTGTAAAAATGATTCGATCAACAAGCTAGGAGCAAATGGAGCTGGTACAGTGGAATCTATGGTGAAAGGAACACAAGTGATTATCTCTGAACAAATTATCTAAGAGGTACTCGAATTTGGTGATGCATCCGCATTCCCAATTAAGTACTCTGCTGATCGTGTCAAGGAAGTTCTGGAGAAAAATGTGTTATTAAGGAAACTATCCTCCCACTATCCAGAAGCTACTGCCACCCTACTGGAGGTTCCTGGCGCACTTCTTTGTGAGTTGCATTTCCGGAAGAAAGGGAGGCTATGACGAAATCAATCAGACTGTGACCTCAGCCAATGTTGCTCTAGCTATGGACAGGGATTACAACTTCTCAAAGTTCGTCTTCGAAGAAATGAAGAGCAACCTCCTGGGAAAGAAAAATGACCTATTTTTTATGTACCCCATGTTCCTTTAAATGATTTTTAATGAAAAATATCCCCAAATCGAAAGGACCCCCGATACCTCGGATATGAAAGCTTTGGGTCCCAACACTTTTGGACTCATGAAGCAATCGAGAAAGTCTGCCAAAGTTGCTTATCAAGGATTAAAGGAGTTAGTTAAATTTGGAAAGTTTGCTGAGATTGAAGACACTCCTGTTGTTGGTTCAATAAATGTTGGGGTTGCCGACGAACACGTGGCGCCCAAACCAAAGTTTCAATTCGCCATTGAAGAGATTGAATTATCTGATGATGAAGAAGATCAAGAGGATCAAGAAAATGAATTGACAGAAAAAGAGTTTGAAGACTTTGTTCAGCAAAGTATCTCAAACCCAAAGAAGGATGCAGCTGTCACACCACCGGTTGTGACTGCAAGGGAAAGTGACACAACGGTGCAATCTTCTATATCGACACCTGAACAGATGGATGCTCTCATAGCAGAATTTCAGCAAACTGCAAGGAAGACACCCCAAACAGTTCATGTCGCTACTGAACCTCCATCTGAAAGTGATCCAGAAGACTCAGTCTACGCTTTACTCCCAAGGAAGCGAAAAAGAAGAGATCCAAGGCGGGGAGTGTTTATCACGGACGTAGTTCAAAAGAAATCTACACCGATTGAGCCTGGTTCTAGGGCTCAAGACATACAAAGCACATTCACTGAGACCTCTTCAGTGATTCAAGAAATACCAAGCCCGTTCTCTGAGCCCATTCCTATGGATCAAGATTTTAAAAGCCCAATTATTGAAGAAGAAGTCATACCTTCATAAGGAGATCAAGCTTCAGGAAGATCATTTGAAACACCCGAGCTGGACATCTCCAAATGCAAAAGTAAGTTGCCTGAATCTGAATTTGTTGATGTCGTTCGGCTTCAAGCGAATCTCGGTGGTTTAACTGCTCTATTCTTTGATCTGAAACATCGCTTATTTTCAGAAGTTTGGTGATGAATTTCAACCCTTGAGTGCTGAAGGAGAAAAGATCACTGCTTCTAGTTCAGGTTCCGCCAATCCAACTTCACAATCTTCAAGTGAAAGAGCTGCAAGACTTACTCCAGATGTTAAACTTGATACATTCTTATCTTATGGTTCTCTTTATGCTCAAGAAAGAATAGAGAAGCAAATTAGGGTTGAGCAGCTGAAAGGGAAAATGCTCTTGATGAAGAATTTATATCAAAATGTTCCAGGTGATCACCCTGAAATGTTCTTCAGGGAAACTGGGAAGAAGTTCACAGACAAATATGGTGATCGTCCTGGCATCATCATGTGGGGATACGATGTTGAAAAGAAGATGTGGATCGTGAAGCAAAAAATGGAATAATTGAATATTATGATAGGAAAGTCGACATCATGTCCTGGACAAAAGTTGATCTTTCAGAACTCATCCACGCACCTTTCCACAATCCAACCAATGATACCATGGCATGGTCCTTTAAAAATTTTATTGATATTAAAGCGAAAAATAACTTTGAAGACTTAAAGATTGCTTCATCGTTTACTAAGAAGGCCAAGGGTGTCATTGATTCACGCACAAACAAAACAATGGTGAATGTCATGTGGCCACCCACAAAGCAAGCCAAAAGGATTCCTCTTCCCAAGCGCTTACCTGAAGGCACTTTGGATACAATATAATTATGGGTTTATGATGAGGCTACTACAACGGTGGTGATCAAGTTGAAGAAAAACTAGTTTCATATTGTTGATCCCAAAGATTTGTTGAAGTTTGGAGAACGTGATATCCACACTTTATCAGACCTTCATATTATCGTAGAGAATGAACTTTTGATTGGAATCTTATAAGACTTCCAATATTTTCCGAGCGATTCTAAACATAGTTTTACTTCATTTCTAGTAAAAACTATCTGTTAGAACTCAACGCTCAAATTACATAATATTTCTTTATATTATTCACTTTTAAAATTACATAACACGATAATTGAACGTGTATGTTACAGCTCAATAGCTCAAAAAGAGTTAACAAAGGTCTTAACACATGCATAATCCAAGATACTGATGGGTTTTGAGCATTACAACAATCCTATGATGCACATGCAAACCCTAAAGCTTTGGATCTAGTTTTTCTAATTATACATGCAATAATCACCCAAAGCTTGTAAACCCTATATCTAGCATACAAAAAATCGAAATCCACATCTAATGAAGAGTTAGGATATTACCTTTCAATTGTAGCTTGATAACCTTGAGCCTTTGAGAACTTAACACCTCAAATGTGATGCCTCTAATAGATCACAAACACCAAGAAGCAAGTTGGAGAATATGAGAGAGAGAGAGAGGGATGCTAAAATCGACTCTAAGAATCCTTATAGGGTTTCTGGTAGCCGAAAATAGGTGCCAAAGGGTTCCTTATATAGGTGAGGAATTAGGGTTTCAGTCAAAGACCTAATCTGGTTGCTTAAGCTCTAAGCAGCCCACAAGATCCTTCCAGAACCTAGCCTGGACGATTTCTATATGGGCTTCCATATAAAATCGTCAATCTCTTATTTAAGAGATCCTCAGCCCATATTGCAATTATCTAATAATTACAATATCAGTCTCATTAATTTAATTAATCTCTTTTGACCACAAAATTAATTCTAAATTAATTCTTGACCAATATTAATTAAATAATATGATTTATCTTTTAATATATTATTCACATAATATATTAATAAATCATAATTAACCTCTTTCTCCATAATTCATCCAGTCAAGTTGCTTTGGTGAAGGCAACCCAAAAGGACCATGCTACAATCGGGTCAAGTACATACCAAATATAGTTATGGGCTTAGACACTTAATCCAACAGATACACCATAAAGCTTGCATTTTTTTGAATAAGGGGACCAAAAGAAGCCTAGATCTAACACCAAAACTTATGGAATGAGTCAAGAAGCTCATCAATCACTCAAAGGACTCGAAAAACATAAAATAACAACATAACTAGATCTAACATCATGGATCATCAATATGTGAGCTTTTTACCTCAAAAAGCTTGCAAATGATGAGCTATCCCCGAATCTTCAAGCTCAAGACGCTTCTCCAAATGGCCCTCTTCTTCTTCTCCTTCACAAATCACCAACAAACACTATTTAATGCTCAAAACTCACAAACACACACTAGGGTTTCGATTTCTGGACAAAGGAAGGTGGAGGTTGGCTAAACATGACCAAATGAGGCTATCATAAGGTTTAAATAGGGTGCAAACCCTAAAAATTAGGGTTTCATTAAAGCTCACGTACGCCCAACTCGCTTCTAGCACTTAGTAAGTACTAGGGAATGAAAAAGAGGTTGGCTAAACATGACCAAATCGATCTGAAAAACTCTTTTTCTTGGAGCCTTCGGGCGCTCCGGAACTCGCTTCTAGCACTTAGTAAGTACTAGGGAATGAAAGTGAGGTTTTGGGGGTAATGGGAGAGAAAGAATGGTTTTGGTGTGAGTTTTGGGGGTGATCTACGCCTCTACTTATAGGCTGTCTAGGGCCTCTCACGTCGTGAGACTTAGTTCTCACGTCGTGAGCTTTGCGTAGGCACCAAGGCTTCGCCTGGTGCTGACACGTGGCGCCGGACACAAGTAAACACAACCAATTTTTTTAAAAAAAATTATAACTTTCGCATATGAGCTCCGTTTTTTACGTTCTTTATATCCACACGTAGGTATTGACAAGATCTACAACTTTCATTTGGACTCCATCGGATAATTCTTGACCGATTTTAAATTTAACAGTATAAGAAGATTACACTGTTAAACGACCGTGTAAAATTCATATCTTCTACATACGGACTCCATTTTCGACTGTCTTTTTATCGTTGAGTTCCTTTTAATGAGATCTTCAATTCTCATTTAAGTTGTGTCGGCTAAAAATCAATCGATCTAAAATTCGAATTACGGGTTGTGCATTACTATGCTAAATCTTAGAAAATTCATAACTTCCTCATACGAAGTCAGATTTGGATGTTCTTTGTATGAACGCTCTCGGTTTAACGTATACTACGACTTTCGTTTAGACCGCTAAGGCTAAAAAGTGTTTTGTCAAAAATTCACTTTTTACGTTACACGGTGCCGTGTCGGTTTAGCCGTAAAACTTCGATAGGTCATAACTCCTTCATTTTAACTTTGATTTCGGCATTCTTTATATCTCCGGAATCCATGTGACGACCACTACAACTTTCTTCATAGATATCGGGTTTATCTAACATTTTATTTTTGACGCTTATTTTCATTCTTAATTTATTATATCATTATAATCAAGTATAAAGCACATAAATTCACATAACTCACATAATACTCAAATAATTCCTTTTTATTACTTCAAAATAAGTTACATTTGTTTACCCTAACTATTACATCATCATACTAATGCTTAGCCTGGAAACGCGGGCGTTACAGTAACCTTTCTAGATCTAGGCTTTTAAGCAGTTTTCTCCATGTTCAAGATGGTTTGAGTGGATGGATTCTATAAATTTGGCAACTTTATGGATCCTTGAGGTCCCTTTGTGGTATCGTGTTCCAGATATGAGGTTTTATAGAGTTCCGATTCCATGCATGAGGTTTTGACCTCATTTCTACCATTTTTGACCTAGCTTGAGTTCAAGACATACATTGGACATGCTTGTCCCCAAAGAAAGGATTTTTATGATGCTTAACAGGTTAAGGTCTTAATATATTAAGCTGTTCAGAGCAGTTCCCATGATGTGGTGATATGCTCACCATGACGTGGAGGAAGGATTCTCGCGGCTGTTTTTTTTCGTGAAGTTGCCACGACTTGACACGTGCATGGCCACGACGTAGTGGCCAGCTGTGTTGACGTTGACTTGACCATTGAATTTTGACCGAGTTTGACATTTGTTCTAATTTATAGGATTGATTTGTTGATTAAGGTGTGAACTTTGTTGGGTGATAGTCGGCTTGCGGTTCTGTCCAATGTGAAGAGTTGAAAGAGTAGCAGTGTTTTTCTAGTTCTACATTTCAGGTGAGTTTCTTCACTATATTATGTGTTATGATGTATATCCTTGCATGGTATGATACAAGGGGTAGTGATATGTTAGTTAGAGTATCGGTAGGTCGGGTATCGTCCAATTGAGTGCCTAGGGGTATATGTAGTCATCTAGGATAACTTGAGAACTCTTGATCTAGGCTTCCTCGTTTGTTCCTTGTTTTGGTTGTGGCTCTAGAGTGGGATCACCTGTTCGACTTTCTATCTCACCTCTGATTATATATAGTTATGCATTCATTGGTGATCTGCCAGTTGTGGCGTAGTGTATTGTATGAGACCTTGTATGCGGAAACGGACTATTAGACAAGTAGACTAGTGGAGACAATTATATGTGTTAATGTTATTATTTGATTATTTGTTTGCATTACATGTCGACATATCTTGTGGTGGGTTGAGTCGGTCCTGCTCCATGCGGTAAGCCAATATACATGGGGCAGGTCAGTGGTGTGTTGTAGGCCAGGTGCGGACCAATTGTATGTTGTAGGCATGAGAGGCGGGCCAGTCATCGACTGAAGGCCTATATGTGTATACTTGTATGTATATTTTGGTGTGTGGTATTTTGGGGGAGCTCAATAAGCTTTGACTTACAGTCGTGGATTAAATATTTTTCAGATACCATTGATGATCGTGGGAAGGTGAATGCATGTTTTTTAGGTACCATTTATGATCGTGGGAAGGCGAAGACAGGATTGTACACACTCATCAGCAATATTGGAGTTCCTCATTTATTATATTATTTTGATTTTCAGATAATAGTATTTTGAACAATGAGTTTTCTTAGC